GTTCTGTTCAACTATCCAACAAAAACTTAGAAATATGGTTATCAATTCTGGACTTGATCTCTAATTGTATTCCTTTACCTATTAAAGCCTGTCTTTCCAACCTATCCACAATTACTGGTCTAGTTGCCCCTATTACTCTCTGGTTCTCTGTCATACAGAGCATTGTTTTCTCATATTTGATTTTCAGCCCATGTACACTTTTTCATGTTAATTATATTTCCTATAAATAGCATCTCGGTGGATGCTACCTCCTGATCTACTCCACGTGTGGTTCTTTTTTTTTTTTTTAATTTAGTGTATCAAGGCCATCTATATTAGAGATTATAACCAACTTTCTCTGCCTCATTTCTGTTATGCTCTTTTTTGCCACCAGTTGTCCGCTTATCTTCTTCATTCTGTTTTCTGCTCCATTCACTGAGGCCTCTCTGCCACTGTTCCTGGAATCCTAGTACTTTTCTCTCTCTCTAGAATGCCCTGCAGTATTCTCTGTAGAGCTGGATTGGCGGTTGCGAATTTCCCAAGTTCCTCTTTGTCTTGGAAGCATCTTGTTTCTCCATTAATTTCTAGAGACAGTTTAGCAGGGTATATCAATCTGGGATGGAAGTTATTTTCTTTCAGGGCTTGGAATATTTCGCTCCAGGTTCTTCTTGACTTGATGGTTTGTGTCAAGAAGTCTGCCGTTATTTTGATGGGCCTTCATCTATAAGTTATCTGTTTCTTGCTTTCAATATTCTGTTCTTATATTGAATTTCTGGGATCTTGATTATTATATGCCTGGGTATAGCTCTGTTTTGGCTGTAGGTGGCTGGAGTTCTGTATGCCTCACACATCTAAATATCATTTCCTTTTTCTATGTTTGGGAAGTTTTCCTTAATTATTTCTGTGAATAGCCTTTGTAGTTCCTTTGTTTGTACTCCTGCATCTTCATTCACATTCTTTATTCTCAAGTTATAGATAGATCCACTTGTCTTCCAGCCTTTGTATTGTTACTGCTTGTTTCCTTGTTATTTATTTATTTATTTATTTATTTATTTATTGTCTTTTTGAGACAGGGTCTCACTATGCAGTTCAGGCTGGCCTTGAGCTCACTTTGTAGCCCAGGCCGGTCTCAAACTCACTATGATCCTCCCACCTCAGCCTCTCATGTGCTGGGATTATAGGCGTGAGCCACCACACCTGGCATCCTTGATATTTTTAAAAAGTTTTCCCTTTCATAATCCCACATTGCAAAACTGTCCTCCAGTTTGGATAATCTATCCTTAGTTTCTTTCAAGCATCTTTCCATAGAGTTTTTAATTTCCTGGTAATCTCTTTGAATCTGCTTCATATATTCTATATTTTAATTATAATCTTCATCAAATGGTTCTCTCCTTTGTTTGAATTCTTCCCTCCTTCAATCTGTGTCTGCTTGAGGGGTGCTTAGCAGCTCTTTTATTAATCTTCTTATATCTTATATCTTATATCTTTCACTTTTTTAAAAAAAATATTTCACTTTTGAACTCGTCTATGAGGTCCCGAATATATCTTTATGTCCACTGGCACTGTGTCTGATATTACATGTTTGCTGTTCTCATTCCCCTTTGTATTTACCTGTCCTGGGTCAATGTTCTCAGGGTTGGGACCCGGGGACTTTTTCTTGATGCTTCTTCTTCCCATCTCTTTTGCTTCTTCCAGGAGGTCCCAGTTTCTTTCTTTGTTGGTTACAATTCTTCCGAAGCTCGCTGGATAGGTGACACTTCCCACTGCAGTGTGCTAGTGAGTTGCACACAGCGGGAGCATATGCTGGGCCCTCCCCTCTGGATCAGTCAAGCTGCTGAGGCCTGCACTGTATTAGTGTGCGCCGCCTCCCCTCTGGGTCAGTCAAACCTCTGAGCCTTCACTGCGTTAGTGTGCGCCACCACTGTAGGGAATTGATTTCGATAACCCATTGTGTCTCAGCCAGGTCATGTGAACCAGGCCAAGCTCAGTCCACCAATCCCATTCGGGAAGGGAACAACTGATTGAAGTCACTGCTGCCCCTTGTATTGGCCAGTCCTGCCCGGTCCCAGAATGTCATCTGCGGGAGCCCCCCTTTCTGTGGAATGGCTCCACTCCCATCACTCACCACAGGTCGATGCAGGCTCCCCGCCAGCTCAGCTCTCTGTTTGGCTGGCGGATCCCAACATCAGTGTGACTGCGCCTCCAGTGAGTCGAAACGGTGGGACCTTGGACGGCTCAGCAAGTCATCTGCTGCCACGGGAGCACTGAACCTTTAGCTGTTCCAATAATAGCACCGAAACTGTATGTTTGATTGGTTCTTCTCACCTTAGTTTCTTCTTGGGAGGAGAGAATTCATCTCCCTCTGTTCAGGACTCCCCACGCTGTATTATGTTGAATTCTAAGTTGACTATTTCAGAGAGCCTCTGTAGCCAGCTGTTATCTATCCACCATCTTTGCTCGAATCCCCACTGGTTCAGTCTCTTATGGGCTTGGAAATCTTTATTTAAGTTCTTTGTGCCTCATGTTCTTCACTTAATATGGAGTATTTCTTGTTAGGATATGAGGATAAAATGAGATTAAGTCATAAGAAGTTTCTAGGACAACCAGACCTAGCAAATTAAAAAGCATTCAGTAAATGTTGTTCTTAATAGCATGAGGAGAAAGAAAAGGGAAGTATGTTTATTCTACTCTGTGTATTACATTTCTATGTAGCTATTGCAGTTACTTTGATTTGATTTCCTAATATGAAATTATAGTGTAATGTTTTCAGAAAAATAGCTTTGTACAGCATAAAGCCTACTTCATGATAACTGTATAAAAACAACAACAAAAACACCAGTGCCAACACTCCTGGGGAAAAGCCTCAGACTTGAGGTCAGGCTGCTACCTAGCAATTCAGGAAGAGCTCAGTCATTCACAGGCCTCTGTAGCCGTGTAAACAAGGTGACTCAGCTTTGGGGAAGTTGGGAAGTTGCCAACCAGCATAAACTTCAAAATAAACCTAAGAATCATCTTTACAGCAGCCAGAAAGGGCCAACAATATTGTCTCTCTCTCTCTCTATCTCTCTCTCTCTCTCTCACACACACACACACACACACACACACACACACACGCACACACACTCACACCCTGACATCAGTGGAAATAAAAATGAAAGAAACAGATGTCTAGTAATAAGAAAGGGCCATTTTCTAAGGACAAGCAGGGCCCTGTGAGGTAAAATTCTTACTTGCTGTATGGCAGGGGGCACTTTTCTAACTGCTAAGGCAGCAGAAGCAAAGTCAGGGTAGACATTTGGCTGGTATGTTAGCTGGTATAACTTGATTTGAAGCAGAAGGGACTTCATATTTTGAACAGAGTAAGTTAGACTAAATTAGAAAAGGGGTCACCCCAAGTAGGAAGGATGAAAAACAACAACAACACAAATTTTTTTTTAAAAATTTAAGGTCCAAGATAGAAGACCATCATCAGATCAGTCTTCCTAAAAACAAGCACAGCACAGTTTCCCTAGGTCATCCACCTGCCAAAGAATATAACACATTCCTCATGGCCTACAGTGATACACTTCTCAAGGTCCTGGAGCCCCCAGCTACCTTTCCATTCTTGTTCCATCATTAGACCCAGTTCCAGAGAGGAACAACCAGCTCACCTCAGTTGTGTCCACGGCACCTGTCACAGTGCCTGGCACACAGCAGTTGCTCAGAAACTATCTGCTGATTCAACAAAACTGTGCATACTTTCAGGCCTGCTGTCCTTTCCCCGTCACCTGACCACCCTGCCACTGTTCCAGGCCACTGTACTAGAACACCGCTCCGCTATCCTCATCTCCCACTCTCAGTTCCTACCTGATTCCATCGCTCCAGATCTCTATCATCCGAACCTCCCGTTTATATGTTTTGTCTGCCCCAATAACCTGGCAGGGTCTTCAGAAAAGCAAAACTGAACTAGTTAGTCCTAGTATACTGCTTTGAGAAAAATGTACATAAAATGTTTGAAGAGGGCCTTAGACATAGTATGTAACTCCTATACACCAGTTCCACCACTGTTCATCTCTTTGGGACCCTGGTCTCTCACTGATGACATGACAGTGACGAGAAATTCTCTGAACTGGACATGATGGCACACACTTAGAAAGCCATATAACCCCAGCTATTCAGGAGCTGAGGCAGGAAGATAACAAATTCAAGGCCAGTCTGGTCAACTTCCTAAGACCCTGTCTTAAAAAATCAAAACAGCTGGGGATGTAGCTTAGCAATAGAACATCCCTAGATTCAATTTCCAGCGTTGCAAACAAAAAAAGAAGTCCTCTGCTAGGTAGGTTTCAGGAGGAGTAGGAGTGTCTGAAAAGTCTCTAGGACCCTTCTGAGCACACAGGAGTCCATCAAGAACCACCTGGAACTGCTGTCACAGAGCCCCACACTGGGTGCATAGAAGGTACCCAGGACAGGTGTACAGAGCCAGGCATGTAGCATGAGTTTGTAGTCTGAAGTGCTTGGGAGGCAGTTCAGGACTGCTTAAAAAAAACAACAACTGATGTAGGAAGCTGAATGAACACTTGAGAGAGCTATATTCCAATATTAATTCAGGTACCAAGGGGAACTTTCCAGCTGTCTACTCAACAATATTTACCTCGCTCACTTGACATACCAGGCTCTGCTCGAGGTCTACAAGGAACAGTAAACATAGTCATTGCCTTCAGAGGGAAGGCAGACAAGGAGGGAAACAGACACGTAAACAGCAGCTTGGTGTTAAACGCGATGAAGAAGAAAAAGCAAGCAGATGAGTGTCAGTTAGGGTTGGAGGGAGCTGCCTACACAGCTGAATGCTCAGGAAAGCTGTGTGTGAGGAGAGTCGGCCACCCTCATACAGACTGCAGGCCCCTTTCCATGGTCTCCAGTGCCAAAACACCTGGCTCCCAGGGCCCTTCTCAGCTCAGACCATGCTGCTGAGCCAGCAGCTGCAAACATGCTTTTACTGGCCACTTGAGCCCCTTGGGGAAGCAAAGAGATCACAGCCCTACCGCAACTGGTCTGTTCCCCAGGAAGTTCAGATCACTGTTCTCGCCAAACAGGTAACCCTCAGGGTGCGTTGAGTCAAACTTCTCTCCTCCCATGATGAAGTGGCTTGCAAAGTAACTGCCTAAAGAGGGACAAATAGAAACAAGTCAGACACAATAGAAAGCAGTCAGACTAAACAAAGCAAAAATGCTGATTTAAAAATAGAAACCAGGAGGATGGCACATGCCCATAATCCCAGTACTTAGAAGGCTGAGACAGGAGGATCACTGTGAGTTCAAGACCAGCTCAGCTTGGACTACACAGCAAGACCCTATGTCAAAAAACCTGAATGAATGAAAAGTTATCCCCTCAAACAAGTAATTAGAGCAATCTCTAACCCCAGAGGTGCTTTCCTTTACCGATTTGGGACAACGGTAGAAAAGATACAAAATCATAGTAAGGAGAATCCACGATAACACACATAAATTAGAACAGTTTTTCTTTTAAGGTTCTTGAGTCCTTACTATGATCTATCTGAAATACCATCAACCAAAAGACCAGAAGGCCCGAAAATACCCATTAATAAACACATACCAGCACTTTGTCCTGACCTCTCTGATGTGAGAAACCAAAAGTATAAATACGGAACAAAATGTGTAACAGATGTTGTGAAATAGGAAGAAAATGTTCCAGTGGGAAGGGGAACCAGGGAGGGAGGAGGGAGAAAGGAAAGAAGAGAAAAGAAAAAATGATAAAAGAAAGAAAAATGGAAACAAAGTTTTTATAAATAAGGAGAGGAAGAGGGATTGAAAGAAGGGTAGGGAAAGAAAAAAAATAATTAAAATATATCATGTACAGGTTGAGTGTGGTGGCACATGCCTATAATCTCAGTACTTGGGAGGCTGAGGCAGAAGAGTAGCTGTGAGTTTCAGGTCACAAGTAGGCTACAAAGTGAGTTCAAGGCCAGCATGAATCACATAGTGAGACCTTGTCTCTAAAAGATCATAAAAAAGCTGTATCATGTCCAGGTACAAATTCCCTAAAACAAATGTGATCATTATGCATACCTAAAATGTACCAACAAACTTAGTTAATTGAAAAGTAAAAAAAAAAAAGAAAAGAAAACAGGAATTTAAATTATACAGCTCTCCCCGGCTTCACCTAGCAGTGCCCAGACTGTGGTGTATAAGAGAGGACAGCTCAGCGCTCTGGAAGGGCGGACTGCACGCTCCCAGCCTCTCACTCCATAACAGGGCTAACAGCCAGGAGGCAGGGACATCAGCTAGAGCAGGTCCCCTCTGTTCCACCTTCAACCCTCCCCACACGAGGAGGTGAAATCAGCAGTCAGGGGTTAGATTCCCTTCAGCCTCCTCTAGACAGACCAAGGCACTGTCCCAGAATGTGATCAGCCACCAGGGGAAGCGTGGGGGGACTGGGAGTCCCATCTAGGGATGCGTGTTACCTTTGATGATTACACAGTATTTCTTATCCCAAACTGTGATCGCCTGGTTCCGGGGCAAGCTGTTGGAGGAAAGGCTCACACCATAATGAACTTTTACCAGAGCTTTCTCTCACACATCCCAACTCTCCAGCTACTGCAAAGACCTTCAGAAAGCACAACAGGCTTATTTATGTTATATAGCTAGGATATATGTAAACTATCTTCGACAATTTTTGTTGAAGATTTACAACAAACAGAAAAAAATAAAGTTCAGAGCTGGACATGGTGGCCTGTAATCACAGCACTCGGGAGGCGGAGGCAGGAGGATCATTGTGAGTTTGAGACCAGCCTGGTCTACAAAGTGAGCTCAAGGGCAGCCTGAGCTGCATAGAGAGACCCTGTTTCCAAAAAAAGACAAAAATGGGGGCTGGGGATTTAGCTCAGCAGCATGAGCGCCTGCCTTGCAAGCAGGCAGTCATGAGTTCGATCCCCGGTACTGATAAAAAGGAAAAAGATTTTTAAAAAAAATGCAGCACTTATAGCCAGAGGAACATAGACAGAGAAGACAATTCTAGCAGAAAAATTGAACCAGATTGCAGTTTTTTTTCTTTTTTTTTTTTTTTTTTTTTACTTTCTACACATGGAGATTTAGTTTGGAAACACATATTAAAACAATATGGATCAGATCACTCACCACACAGAAGGGGTAATTCCTGAATTAACAATCAGGAAAATATCCTGTGGGCATGACAGCAGCCCAAACCAAAGTCACTATTGGGGAACTCTTGGAAGATACCCATGAAAGCTTAAAAACACAGCAGCCACTGCAGTGGTGCAGCATGCAACTCATCGTTTAGGGGAGCTTCATCGTCAATTATTTACATCTTGCACTTCGGATCCCTATTTTCCAAGTGCATAATTTATAGAGGGGTGGTGCCCAGTTGCCTTCAGTTTTTTAAAAAGCAATCTTCTCACAACACAAGCCATTTACTTTTGAACCTTAGGGTATATCTTCTGTACATTAGGGAGCATATATTTACGGTACATTAGGTAGAGTTGGAACAGCTGAAGATTTTACCCTGATGGGCTATTTGCTCAGTGATGAATAAGGAATGGAGGGAAGCAGGTTTGTGCTCTCAAGGTAGCAGCCTGTGTTCAGTGTGGGACACTGAGTTTCCAGTACCTGTGGGCAGTCGGGTAAGAGATGTGGGAGAAGTCCACAGGCAACCTGGGCTTACAATGGTAGTGACTGGACCTAGTAAAGGAAGAGCCGATGCTCAAGTCACTTAAATAAGTGTCATATTATCTGCATAAAACCTAGGCACTTCTTCCCATACATTATATTTTTGATTTTTAAAAAATTTTTGACACAAGGTCTTGTTTTGTTGCCTTGAATTCACCATGGAGCCCAGGCTGGCCTTGAACTCATGACACTCCACTTGCCTCAGCCTCCTGAATGCTAAGATTATAGACATGTGCCACAATGTCCAGCTTCCCATATATGTTATGCCATCTCTAAGGTTACTCAGAATATCTTTTTTTTTTTTTTTGTCTTTTTCATTTTTTTTTTCGGTACCAGGGATCAAACTCACGACTGCCTGCTTGCAAGGCAGGCACTTATGCCGCTGAGCTAAATCCCCAGCCCCGTTACTCAGAATATCTAATACAATAAAATGTTATGCAAATAGTTGTTATATTGTTTAGGGAATAAAAAAGTTTGCACTTTTTTGTTTGGTATAGACACAATACTTTTCCCTAAATATTCTTTTTTTTGGTACCAGGGATCAAACTCATGACCTCGTTACTTGACAGGCAGATGTTTGTACTGTTGAGCTAAATCACTGGCCCTCCCTAAATATTCTTGATCCATAGTTGGATGAATCTACAAAGGCACAGCCCACGGATATGGAAGGTATTTTGAAAGCTGATAGGTACCATAAGGGGAAAGCATGAAATATTTATCTTGTTTTTCCTATAAGAGCTGTTCCTCCATGTGACTGACCAATTGACAAGGGAAAGTCTCTCCTTACAGTGTATTCCAGCTAATAAACACAGAAGGAATGACAGCGTATCAGTTATACAGAACACTCCTTAACAAATTAATGAATCAGAAGAGAACAAGAAGTCACCAAGAAGCAAGCCCTCCCAGGAAACTGATGCTATGTGCAGGCTGCTGGGGGGGAGCCAGATGCCAGCCCCTCCTGGTGCATGGGCTGGAAACCAGAAGAGTCCATCCACCCACCTCCACCTCCACCATAAGTGACAGGCTGACAGAAGCAGACTGTGATGATAGCTATTGAAGTAAAATACAATTTAATGTTTGTAGTGTTTAGTGTTTCACTGACTTTGTATGTCTAAGTAGGTAGTCTGATCATCTATTCAGAGGATAACAGTGCACAGTGTATCATCTATGGGGGCAACTCCTTCTGAAGGTGGTAGCCATTGTTAATTCCCTATTATCCTGTTTTGAAGTTCTGTATCATTTTCATTGTTTTGTTGGGTTGGGCTTTATTCTGTTTTGCTTTGTTTGATTTTATTATATCCAAAGGCATGGGCAGGTGTTTCAAAGATAACATGATATATTATGGTAGCCATTTTGGATTTACTATTGTCTTGTTTTAAGTTCTTTATTACATTCATTGTTGTCATTCTGTTTTGTTTGATTTTACTATGTCTGAAGGTAAGGGCAGCTATTTTGAAGACAACAAGAGGCATTATGGGAACCACGTTGATTTCCTATTTTTTTTTTTTTTTTTTTTTTTTTTTTTTTTTTTTTTTTGGTCTTTTTGAGACAGGGTCTCTATGCAGTTCAGGCTGGCCTTGAGCTCACTTTGTAGCCCAGGCTGGTCTCGAACTCACAACGATCCTCCTGCCTCCCCCTCCCGAGTGCTGGGATTACAGGCAAGAGCCACCACGCCCAGCTCTGATTTCCTATTGTTTTGAAATTCTGTGCCAGGGGCTGGGGATTTAGCTCAGTGGCATAAGCTCCTACCTTGAAAGCAGGTGGTTGTGAGTTTGATCCCTGGTACTGGAAGAAAGGGGAAAAAAAAGTCCTGTGTCATTTACATTGGTTTGTTTTGGTTGGCTTTATTCTGTTTTTATTTTGCTTGGTTTTATTCTCTTTAAAATAAAAAAAAATTAATGAATCACCAATTGCCAATTTCCTTCCCCTAAAAAAAGACAATTAGAAATGAGTCTGGCAATGGATAACACCACAAAGTCACACTGCCAATTATGGACATTATTTTAAAGTTCTAGGGCTGAGGATTTAGCTCAGTAGCTTAAGCACCTGCCTGGCAAGCCTATGGTCATGAGTTCAGTCCCTGGTATCAAAAAAAAAAAAAAAAAAGCTCTAAGAAAACAAATCTAATCAAACTGCTGAATCTAAGCACCAACTTACAGGAATAGAACAAAGTATGATTAATGATATAGTTCAGGAAGGCAATCAGCAAAATTCAGTTTGGGAAAAACTACCAGGCAAATGACCAGCTTTCCTCAACAAATATATAAGAGATATGATTAAAAAAAAAAATAGGCCTGGGGGTATAGCTCTGCAGCACAGCACCTGCCTGGCAATCGCAAGGTCTGGCATTTGATTCCCAGTACAAAAAATGATAATAATAAAAATAATAAGATTCCAGCCAGTCATGGTGGCACATGCATGTAATCACAGCACTTGGTAGGCTGAGGGACGATTGTTG